TAGCTTTGTGGACATTTTAGTCTTATTGTGTAGTCTTAAATAAGAGATTACTTACGAGAGTAGCTTAGCGTTTTTTAGTGGACATAATCTTTTTGAAGTTCAATTTAGTCTGCCTGCCTTATACAGATCCTTTGAACTAATTTTTGACTAAAATTCAATAGATGAAATGACACTTAACGAGCCCAAGAAAATTTGCAACCAAAACGCATTTATTACTAAATTCAAGTGATATTTATTAATAGCATATTATAAATACAAATATATATATATATATATATATATATTATATATATAATAATAATAATAAAATAACTTATAATTTAAATTTTAAAAGATAAACGAAATGACTTTTGCTATTCGTGATTGAGATCGCTTTAAATTTTACTTTAAAGTTAATCTAACGGCTAATATTAACACCCTAAATTTAATTGAAAAAATAGATCCTTAAGAGTGTGTTTGTAGTGACTTTTTAAAAATACTTTTAAAAATTATTTATCATAAATATTTTTTAAAAATAGTATTTGAAACTAGCCAACCACTACCTCTACCACCACCCCCTAGCCACCAACACAGCCGTCACCTCTGTCGTCGTCACCACCACCGCCGCCATCGCGACCGCCACCAACCACTGCCATCACCACCTCCACCCCCACCGTCGCCGCCATCACCACCCCCACCACCATCGCCACCGTCACCCCCACCCCAACCACGGTCATTGCCACCCACCACAACCATTACCATCTCTATCACCACTACTGTCGCCCACCACCTCTCAATCTCATTAGAAATTGATGCTTAAATTCTTTTATCTATTTTTTATAATTTTGAATATGAATACACATATATTTATTGTTTATTATTTATTATTATTATGTGCCTTCAAGTACAGACAATAACTAGTTTATATAATAAAGTACAATACAATTCAAATTTCAAAGATAAACAAAATAACTTCTACTTTTCGCGGTTGAGATTTTCTTTAAATTTTATTTTAAAGTTAATTTGACGACTAATATTAATACCTCAAATTTAATAAGGAATAGACCTTAAGGGTGTGTTTGAGTGACTTTTTTTAAAAAAAATAATATTTCGAACTATCCCACCATCACCACTACCACTATTACCATTGTTGCCAACCACCACCGCAACTACCTTTACCACCATCACTGCCTCACAACCATTATCACCACCACCACCTCTGCCACAACAACCGTCGTCGCCACCCACCACCACCGTTGTTGCCACCATACCACCACCGTTACTGTACTACCATCACTATCACCCCTACCACCACCACCACCATCACCACCACTGCCCCACCATCACCCCTACCACAATCACCGCCACCATTGCCGTAGTCACCCTACCACCACTATCGCCACCGTCATTGCCCACCACTATCGCTATCCACTGTCATCTGCACTCACCACACCTACCACCATCATTACCACAGTCATTTGCCATCGATTATCACACTATCATCTAGAAGAATCTCATTGTCACCTACCACCACCATTACCAATCACCATCATTGTCGTCACCCAAAACCACCCACCACCATCACTGTTGCTACGTACGACTACCACTATAACCACGATCGTAGCCACCCGTCTTAACCATCACCACAATCGCTTACCACAACTACCATTGCTCACCCCTCTTACAATTGGAGTTTAAATTTTTTTTTCTCTCCACTATATTTATGATTTAATTTTTAGTATGAATATAAATATATTTATTATTGATTATTTTTTTATTATTTTGTACCTTTAAACACAGATAATAACTAATTATATTATATTATATCTGGATGTCAATGATAGTAGAGAAGTGCCCTTTTATTGTGGAGGGTGCCCTTAACATTTCAAACATTAATCCAAGAAAGTAACCTTAAAATATTAAAGAAATATCAGCACCAAAAGATTACAGATAAGACTCTTTCTAATCATACAAAAGAAGGATGATTACCAAAAGATTAAGGACAAAAGCACCTTAATTATAGAGATAAACAATAACTCTGCCTATTCAACAATACCACAACTTGGAGTAAAAATAAGAGTAGTCCACTCCCACACTCAAAATCACAATCCCCCTCTATACTCTCTCTCTCCCTCCTTCCTTACTGGGAAAGATGAGATTAAGATATGGTCCTCCACTCTTTTAAACGGACCGTTCTTAAAAACTCCGTTACATCAAACAACCCCGTTAAGTTATGCCCGTCCAAAAGTCTTCAACACAACGCACTAAATGGCGCTCGAACAATTGTCTCTAGCTCCGGCTCCTGTTTATGCCGACTCCGACGCCGTTCCTAACGGCGCTGACGGCCGTCCAACCTCCGTCGACGGTGGCGATGACGCCAACAAAGCTCCTAGACTCCCTCGCTGGACTCGGCAAGAAATCCTCGTGCTCATACAAGGCAAGAGAGTAGCCGAAAGCCGGGTTCGTAGAGGGCGAACCGCCGGTCTAGCATTCGGCTCTGGTCAAGTAGAACCCAAGTGGGCCTCAGTTTCTTCGTACTGTAGAAGACACGGGGTAAACAGGGGACCGGTTCAGTGCCGGAAAAGATGGAGCAATTTAGCCGGAGATTATAAGAAGATAAAAGAGTGGGAGTTACAGATAAGGGAAGACACGGAGTCGTTTTGGGTGATGAGAAATGATTTGAGGAGAGAGAGGAAGTTGCCGGGATTTTTCGATAGAGAAGTTTACGATATACTGGATGGTGGTGGTGGTGGTGGTGGTGGTGGAGGGGGGTCGGAGGCTATGGGTTCCACGGGGTTAGTTTTGGCCTTGGCCCCGTCGAATAGGGCGGAAGGTGAAGAGGTGGAAGTGGAGGGGGAGGCAGTGTTTGATAGTGGGCGGAGCGCGGCGGCGGAGGATGGGTTGTTTTCGGATTTTGAGCACTCGGGTCAAGAAGAAGTTGGTGGCAGTACGGAGAAAGAATTCAAGGAAGGGCCGACAACGACGACTTTACCTGCTCCGACTCCGACTCCGACTCCAATTTCAGGTAATTAGGTGTTTGTCTACACTTTTTACAGATATGTATTTAGGTAATTAGGTGTTTTTTCGAATCGGCTTTGAATCGGTACAACTCGGTACCAATTCGCATCGGAATTGAACGGCACCAAATCGTTTTATGACAGCATCATAGAATAGAATGGAGAAGATGCCAAAGAAAAGGCAACAGAAATGAAGAAAAGAATTACCAGTCCACCAAAACTCACAAATAAGCAAAAACACCCAGCAAAACTAAAGCAAAGCAAATTTTTTTTTGAAATTGGAAAAAATATCAACACTACCTCGGATGAAACCCTATGCAGAGGTCCTCTGCAAAAAAACCCTAGAAAATTGGGAAACCAATCGGCAATCGCAGATTCACAGCAAAGACGATCGAAGCAGAGACTCTCTCTGGATCAAACCTCTCTCGTGGATCTCCTCCTGGGTCAAACCGATCTCGTGGGTCTCCTCCTGGGTCAAACCTATTGTGCCTTAAAATATCAAGCACAGTATTTTAAGGCACAGTTGGTTGAACCATTGGGTTTTTAATATTTTTTTACCCTTTTTTATTTCACAACACAACCAGGTCAGTCTTGTTTTATTTTACAATCCCACTGGTGTGACCATTGCTTTTTTTTTTTTTCTTGGTGCCCTTTTTTATTTATCAATCCCATTGGTCAATTCTTATGATTTATATTTTATTTTGTCTAAGTACTTTATAGCACATTTACTGGAAGGTTTAAATAATAACCAGTAGCGCTCTTATAATTTTTTTTAATTATGTTTGATGGGTTAGATAATACATTTTGAGGATATGATGCTTGGATTAAGATCTTTATATTGTTTGGAATTTTTCATAATTTTTTTTGAACTTTCTATCTAACGTTTTGAATGGATTGGCTGACACGGTGCCACGACCGATATGTCTCAATACCCTCCAAGTCAAATATCTAATCCCAAATCCCAAGTGTGCACACTCTCTACACATACTGAGTAAAACTTTTTTAGGCCTTCCACTAGCTCATTGCTTATTTGGATTTTAGATCAGCATGGACCATGTCACGCATTATATAATGTATGAAATTTTAGCATTTAAATTACAACCACCTTAATTTAGTTGTATTTCACAATTTAACCGGTGATGAGTAAGAGAAATCTAAACATGTTTCTCATGTTTATGATTGAGACTATGTCCACACCATTGCTTCGCCTTTCGGGGATGCACTGCGATTTTGTGGATCTGAGTAGAGTTTTCTTATAAGAAAAGTTGTATAGTTATGCAACACTAATCCTTGCATTTATCATATTACATTTAACAACTTAGAGAGACACGACAATCTCGATCTCGATAAACTTTACAAATTCTATTGTTCTACATGGGTATAGAATAAAATGGGTGGGTATAGAATAGAATGAGCTCAGTAGTTTATGTTAAGGTGTCAAAATGAGGTGGAGATGGATATTTATGGGATAGGAATAAGCCCACCCAAAACAGTTCCAGGCTTTCCAATTCTGCACTCATTAAAGTCTGGTAGTATTGTGATTAGACATCAATTTCAATTATCATAAAATCTGAAGCTGATATTTTGTATAGGGTTTTGCTTACAGTAAGATTAGAAAAACCTTGAACACCTGAAATTTTGAGTGATCCAAAACGATTGAAAATATGAAGGAACATAAAGATGATAGGAATGTTCTTATAACACAGCTCTGGTTGTTCGCATCCTAGGCCACTGTTTAACTAGTTATTGTGCCTATCTTCCATTTTTCCTGACAGGAAGACTAAAAACATTTGAATATGGTGGTGCTTTTTCTGAGATGAATTTTGTTGCAGGTACGACGCATGAGAAACAACCAACTTCAAAGCCCGAACCAGGAACTACTCAGGAAGGACGAAAGAGGAAACGATTAGCCACAGATGGAGATGAAGAAACAACAAATGTGCAGCATCAGTTAATTGATGCGTTGGAAAGAAATGGCAGATTGCTGAGCTCTCAACTTGAAGCTCAGAACACCAACTTTCAGTTGGACAGGGAACAACGGAAAGATCATGTAAATAGCTTAATTGCTGTTCTTAATAAGCTTGCAGATGCAATGGGAAGAATTGCTGATAAATTGTAGTGAAGAGCTCTTATAGTATAGTGTACATAACAATAGTTCTCTCTGAGCTCCAAGAATTGTTGCCGAGGCTGAAGGATCTGGTCAGTCACAGCTAATATTTGTCTTAGTATCACATCCAAGATGGCTTCTCACATTTTTTCCCCATTTTAATATCTCTTATATATCTTGCTGTACTTTTTCCTATTGAGGCTTTTGCCATTATAGGTTTATACACATAATAAGGTGTGGGAATTTGGAAGTCTGACAGTGCCTTTCTCATATATATTATTATAGGCTATAAGAAGGTTTTTGTCTCCTTTTTGTTGCAGTGATTGTACAGATTTCAGGTAGAATATGCTTGTAGAAGTGGCTGTTTACTTGATTGTTGATGTAACAATTTCTCTTTTAAGAGAAAGAGCTTGCAAATGAAATTTTAGACACAAATTTCCTTTCTCTCGTGTTGTACTTGCTGAACCATCTAAAATCGTATACTCCACTGAAGCATAGATCATAGACGTATATTAGTGGTTCTTGCTCGTGTAATGAGGCTTTCATAATGCGTTAACATGTAATGTTCTTTTGCTTTAGGTGTTTTAAGTCAAAGGAGCGGATGACATAGAGCAAAAAATTCAATGTCAATCCAAAGATGGGAACACAGCCCATGGAAAGTAAATAGGTACGGGCGGCCAGCATAATTGGCTGCAGATAACAAACCATTGGGACACTATAGGAGAAAGAAACGTGCAACTGGATCCTTTAACCTACTAGTCTGGTTATTAAGATACGATTGATAACATTGATAAACACCCACGTGCAATGGAATTAGCAGAAGAAGCCTCTTGGCTATAACACATATCATCCAACAAAATCCACAACATACATAAGAAAACAGCAGCTGGAAAAAAGGGTACCGTCAGTTAGCAGCTATAACACCAATGATACATACAGTATGAGCTAAAGAGGGGGAAAAAACTTTGAAATATAGCATGAACCTCCATAAACCCTCCCTTAGAACATCAAGAAACAGAACCTTCAAACCTTGACCTGTTTCGATAATGGCGACTTGGTTTCTGGCAACCACCAGTCCTATCAGCCATATTCATTTCTGGCTTATCTTCTTGCATCGCCCCACCTTCACTTTGCTGGGCCACCCTAGCTGCAATGCGGACAGGGAAATCTGTTTGCTTTAAGAATTGTTCAGAACCATCTTTGCGAATTTGCTTTACCATATGGCAGCTATTTACAGAAGCATCATCACTTCCCTTATTCCTTGGTATAAAGGTTGCTGATTTTCGAAGATCCATGGGTGCATCTTCTGAGTTCTGCCCCAACATAACGAGATGGGACATTTTTACTTGCTGAACAAAGTCTATACAAGCCCGGCTATTGCTCTCTTCATCACTTTCACTGTTAGAAATGGTTAGTAACGTAAGATATCTCACATTGAAAAATTGAAAGGGAGTGTAAGAGTTTAAAAGAAGAAACACACTAAATTTTATAAGTTTGGATAGTGGGAAGATTTGGAGAGAAGTTCCAAATATTTCAAATCAATGTGCCTTAATTAGGCTTTAAAAAAAAATAATATTTAAAGTCAAAAGATGGGCACTTGGGCAAAGCTTGAAGTCTATAAAAAATTAATAATTTGTATTAATTAAGCAGGCTCAAGAGTTGTGTCTCTTCTTTACATCTTTAAGGTATTATACATACCTTTACAAATCATTCAATAAAAATATACAAAACGTTTCTCTACTCTGTTCTTGGGAGAATTTTAGAGTCTGTTATCTAAAATTCTATTTGACTTTGTTAATCTTAGAGGAATTTGCCACAAACCCAGCAGCAACACAGTGGAGGCATCATATGTTGTAATTATTTTGCTAATATTCACCATATGAATCGAAACAATAATGTGTGCACTTGGAAGGATTCAGTACATAAGGAACCTTGGGACGAGCTGTACTTGGAAGGAATTAGTATATATAATAAGGATGAACTGTAAATTCAGACGTTTTAAGTTTGAATCTTAGCAATTCATTGGGACCAGACCATGAGAAATTTATCCTTTATGAATACCCTAATTTCAACGTGGATGATTTGCCTTTGATTGAATCGAGAAAAAGATTAGTCAAGATATACGAAAAAGGTCCAAACACCTCTAACTGTTAAATCTCAAAAAAAAATAAATATATATATATATATATATATATATATATATATATATATGAGACTACTTATTTTTTGTTGAACACCATAGCGATCAATGTACTCATCTGTAACCACTAATGGGCAAATCTTCCTTCTGTTTTTGTAGCAAGAATGTAGGTTTATCAATTTGTTCTTGGCCTATTTGTGAAAGAGCATGGAATTCCCGATAAGATTAGTAAAAATCTGTATTTTTTGCCATACGAAGGGGTTCCATTTTACAAAAAAAATAAAAAAAATTAATCCATACTAAATTCAAGGGTTAATTACACTAAAGATCCCTAAAGTATAAAATTTGTCTCATTTTAGTCCCTAATGTTTCAATTGCATTATTTTAGTCCCCGAAGTATTGAATAGATTTCTATATAGTCCTTCAAGTAGACAATGTGTAGATTGTTAACGATTTTTATCATAAATTTGTCACGTAATACTTAAAAATGAACAAAAAATAATTTTAATAGCGTTTAAACAAAATTTGGATAACTATTGACAAAAAAAAGTGTAATATGGGTAACTCATGATCAAAAATGTGTATTTTAAATAGTTATTTAACCAAAATTTGAGTAAAAATTTGGTCAAGAATTATCTAAATTATTTTTTTATCCATATTTAAATATTACATGACAAGTTTATAAAAGAAAATTGTTAGCAATCTGGACACTATTTACTTGAAGGACCATATAGAAATATATTCAATACTTCATGGATCAAAATGATGCAATTTAAATATTAGGAACTAAAATAAGATAAATTACATACTTTGAAGACCTCCGATGCAATTAACCCTAAATTTAATACTCGAGAAAACCAAGCTAAAACTGAAATGGGAATGAAGCCTACTTAGATGATTAGACCCTTGATCAATTTGTCTTATTTTTCTCTCCATGCTTTTGGTCCCGTTTATCAAAACTCTATCTTCACCCTATTGACTCGATTTTCAACTTTTAGGTGGGGGCTATCCCACATCGGATAGCCTTAGGGATGTGTGTGTGTATATATGACGGCTATGACACTTCTCCTTTTAAGGAGTTGTGTTATAATTTGTCTGTCTCAAAACAACCATGTGTGCTTATCAAGGTGATCCTTGGGCTCTACTACATCCCACTTTAAGCCCGTTTCAACGTACGGGGAGGCCTTTGGAAGGATGTACACCAAATTAAATTTAATTGTAAAAAAGTATATAGAAAAAAATATTGGAAAATTAAGTATTTAATTTTGATACTTATTTGTATCTAAGTACATTATTTGAATTTTACTGATTTTTGTGACATTTTTGTCCTCCATTAATCCATGTGTATTTAATGCACCATTTTTCTTTGAAAAGTAGTGCATTAAACATCTCCTAATTTTATGGGAGAACTTTAATACATATATATATATATACACACACACACACACATAAATACGTATATATATACTTGTTATTAAATTTCTTATCTAAATTTTGAATTATCTTTTAATGCATCTTGATTCATGTATTTTTTCTATTAGAAAGTGGTTTTATTTTCAAATTAAAGATAATTCAAAATTTAGATAAAAGATTTAATATGTATATATATATATATATATATACATATATATATATATATACATATTTACATGTATTAACAAATACAGATGAATCAAGATGCATTAAATACGTATTTATATGTATTAACAAACACACATGAATCAATGTGTATTAAAGATAAGAGATTTTGAATTAAATGACCCTAAAATAAGTATTTATGTCTTTGTAACTCACATTTTGTTTTATATACTTTTTGTCAAATAAGTCTAATTAGATGTATTGGCTTCTAAAGAACTTTTTTTTTTCTTTTGAACTGGGAGGCCCATAGTTGGAAGCATTAAGATTTCATGAGTTAGCTTATTGTAAGCCTATGGATATCAAAAGCTTGAATGATTTACCAACTCTGCTCTCATTTCTCTATTTTGATAAAGTGAACATGGTTGAAGTTTCTTTTTAGTCGTACATTCCCCAATTAGCCCCCTTCTTTTTTCTTTTCTTTTTTCCTGTGATAAAATAGTGTGTACTCTGTGTGCACTGAGTATGTGCGCAATGCGCCGTGAGCGCTTTATGTATGGAACACCTCTATGGTATTTGATCGAACACCTTATGCGCATTGTGCGATGTGAGTGTTCTGGGAGAGAGAAGCAGAGAAAGAGAAGAGAATGGCAACTGAGAGAGAAGTAGAAAGCAAGGGAGAGAAGCAGAGAGTTTCAGCATGTACCTGGAATCAGTCGGAGCAGGAGAGAGTTCCAACAGAGAATCCATGCAGTATGAGTAACAGAGGAAAAGATGAACAACGGAGAGAGATGCAGACAGGCAGAGAGAGTAGTGCCTAGAATCATTCGCTTTGATATCGAAGAAGAGAGAAGATATTAATTTGCGTGAGATTAGGGATTGAATTGAGAAAGGCACGGAGATTTGGGGATCACCAGTTATGGAAAGGGATCTTTTGAATTCCTAATGAGAGTGATAAGGGAAATCAGAAGGAGGAGAGAGAAGAAGATGAGCTAGTTTTGGAAAGCAGACGTTTGAATCGTGAATCTGGGAGATTGAGAGGAGTTACCGGTGATTCATAAATGGAAAGTGACCTGGGCGGAAAAACAAAATTTACCGGTGAATATTACCCGTTTGATCAATATTTTTGAGTTGATCTTAACAACAAAAAAGTTATAAACTTTTAGATATAACTTATCTTTAACTCAGAATTGATCTGAGTGTCAAAAAACTTAAAATAAGTTTTGAAATTCAAACTCAAGCCTACTTTATTATATAGATGCACTATTTTGTTATGAACTTTATTTGTACACACCAATGTTTATATTGTTGTGACGATTGAATTTTTTTTTTTTATGCTAAAGCTGGACTGTGGCGTGATGGTGAGTCCAGTATTTGAATTTGGGTTCTAATTGTAACACATAGTAATTATCTATACATGTTCATATTTCTTGGGGCCTGTTTTAAAGGGACATTCTATCCAAAATTTTTAAAAAAACAAAGAAAATTATTTTAATTAAATATTGACGAATTTTTTGTTTTGTATATAACATAGTACTTTCAAGCATAAGCATTTTTTCCAAATGTCATAGGTTTGTGGAATATTCTAAGTTGACTTTGGATTAAATCTTTTAGGCGCTATTGTGAGTTCTAATTAGTTATATAATTTCAAGTATATTAATTTTATGGATTTTCAAGTTGATTGTATGGGTTTTTGATTATTAAAGTTGTGTTTTCTTTTCTTTTTTTTCACTGAAATTTGTCTTCATGAGAGTGTTCAAATAGGTAACTCTACTTGGGCTCACATGAAAGAAAAATGAGGAGTTATTTGCTTACATGACAAGTTGACTATTAATTTTTGTGATGTTTATTTGCTTATTTGAAATTTTATTATTAATTGGTAATACTACAACACATTATCACGTGGTATCACCGTTGTAATGAATATTTTTTCGTAGAATGCGAGTGTTAAAGATGCATTATAAACTTTAAGTTTAATGTATGTCCAAGATTATTTTTGGATTTTAGAATTGTACAATATCTTCAAGTACGAATTATTGCTAATATAAATATAATACATGAATTTGGGTTGAACAAGAGTTACATTCAGGTTAAACCGTGAACTCAAGCTCTTAACACAAGTCTTACTCGAATTTAATTCGGGTTGATGCTTTTTAACTCTGACTCTAGCCTTAAAAACCTCAATCCTAACACTATTTTTGTGGGTTAAGTTCAAGTTAATTCACCAAAGTTACAACCCTAGCCCAAAGTAGTGCAATCTTTCATGGTCAAATCAAGGATTAGGGGCTTCTTGCTGGATTTTCAATTTATCTGGGGGTAGTATGTGATCCGTAATCGAAGAGAAAAGTGACTCCGCCACTGTTTTTGTTGTACGTTTTCGAGCTATATATCTCTATTTAATTCTAATCATCGAATAAATGAAATGAAACATTGATGAATAATTTATCGATTTCTTTTCTTTGCGGGAAAAAAAAAGATTAAGTAATGTTTTATGTGTTCAAAGTTTGCCTTGTAGTTTCATTGAATGCAAACACAAAGAAACGGTCTGCTAAATGTAAGGAAAAACACAGCGAAGCTAGTCAATGCATTAGTCAGCCATCAAACATTTTCGTTGATCGACTCTCG